ACCAAACAAACAAATTCAAAGTTGACCATTATTGCTTAAAGAGCTGAAGAAGAGCCTGAGGAAACAGAATGCCTCCACCCACCACCCCACTCACCTCTGATCCAGGATCTTGCTCCTCTCCTGGCTCACTGCCCTGTATAAATCCACCTTCCTTCTGAAGGCAATCTCAGCTGGTGTCCAGCCCATCCCTCCTCTCTCTAGCCCTGGCAACTTCTAGCTAGTCATACCTTTCATCCATGAGGTTTTGTTTTCTTTTCCTTCTTAATTAGCACACCTGGAGGTTTATATGTTTTATTAGTCTTTACAAACAACAGGACATTTGGTTTAGCTGGTCATCTTTTTTTCATTTTTATTTCACCTGAAAATTTTCTTGCTAAAATTAACACTGGTCAATGTTAATGACGTGTAGCCAATGACGTGTAGCCAATGACGTGTAGCCAATCCAGTGATTTCTTTTCATTCCTTATTTAACTTAACCTATCCAAAACGTTTAATATGACTGCCTGTTCCCATATTTGTTAACTTTTTAATTGAAGTATAACATACATACTATAATATGCACAGATTCAGGTGTACAGCTTGATAATTTTTTTTTAAGTTAGCATGTGAACATACCCACATAGCCACTCCCCAGAGCAATATACAGATACAATTGCTTCCTAATTGTTGAGGTGCATTGTTCTTCAGAAAGCTCTGGTCAACCTCTGCTAAGACATTTCCAGCCAGAATCTGCCTCTTCCTTCAATCCTGCAGACATTTGCATAAAGATCTGGAGGACCAATCACTACAGAAAAGCTTAGACAAGTCAACTTCAAACTTCGTCAAAGGGTATGTGAGGATTTTTAATTCCTATTTAAAGAGTGGGAAATACACAATTCAGATCAAAGTTGTCTTAACAGTAAAAGCAGTAATGCATAACTCATTTGAATGGAGCCTTTGTGTTTATGATAACCCTATGCTTCCCCTCGACAATGAAATAAACATGCTCCCCATCAGTCCTACTGCTCAGTTTCTTTTCTCATAACCTCCCTTTTGACCCTGAAAACTGTCTCTCCATTATTCCAAAGTTGGACTTACTCCTTTCTTAGCTGTGAAGCAAAGTAACCATGTGTTCCCTGTTCCCTCTTTCTCCCCCCATCCTCTCATCATTTCTAGGAGGTGATCTTCATATCAGTACTACCCACCAGACCTGACCAGCCCTTTATAGTGTGATGGAGGACTTCTCTCCTCCTTTCTAGGGTGACCTTGGCCTTAAGACTCCATTAGCCCAACACCCGGTCCCCAGGTCAATTACCCACATTCCTGTTGCATTCACTATTCAATGTCCTCTGATGTGTCCACATTTCTTTCACTCCAAATAAGGGGGATTTATTCAGTACTCTTCAGGAGGAGCAGGAAGAACAACACAAAATCAAAGATAAACAACAAAGTCATGGTGAGTAGTGTCACTTTTAAAGACCTCCCATTGGAGTCCTCTTTCCCCTTAAGATTGTACCATCCTGCTTTTTCCCTGGACACCCCAGCTTCCCTTGGCCTCTGCCAAGAGCCAAACACTGCAACTCCTCCAGAGACTGATTTTTCTCTGTGTTCTAGCCTCTGGGGCTTTCCAGATTAGGAAAGGAAGGAAGGAAGATGCTTAGTGTACAAAGAGTCTTTGTTTCTTCAAGTGCTCTGAAGATACCTAAGAGAATATAGAGTGAACCCTGAAAAGAAAACAGAAGCCCAAGATTAGATTTATGAAATCCTGCTTTGTGCCAAGTGCCCTGTTAAGAACTTTATGAAGATGATCCCATTCCATTTTCACAGTCCTCTAAAGCAGCTGCTATTATTACATCTACATTTTATAGATGAAGTGCCTAGAAGTTCACAGAGCTTGTAAGCCAGAGAGTCAGGATTCAAATTCAAGCAGTCATAATTCATTTTACTTTGTTGTAGAATTCTTCACATTGATAATATACTTAATCTCTCAAAGTCCACTTCACGTTCCTCAGTTCTGCCTGGAGACTCATGGTGGGTTTCACTGGTTAAATATATCTCATGTCACTGTGTTATAGTCTTTTTTGAACAGAGAAAGGAAGAGTGTAAAAGAGACCAAGGAAGATAAACTTTTCACACTGCGAGAAAGGGCATGGACCTCAGCACAAAAATAGGAGAAGACAAAATATTCTCTAAACAGAGAATAAACCAGAGAAGATAGAGTGCAGGATACTTGAAAGAGAATGAAAATAAATGGGGCTAGAGGGGTGAATGGGCCATGTTTTAAAGGTCATGACTTCTTCCTAAGTATCATCATGGGGCAGGAATGGGAAAGAAGAAAGAAAAAGAAAAAAGCCAAAAAGAGGAGAAAGAAAGAAAGAGAAGCCAATAGGCGCAAGTTATAATTTCTTTTTTATAATGGCAAAAGATACATGGGAATATGAAAAATAAGGAGACAATACTGCATGCTCCCAGCTCCCCAGTTCCTCAGCAGAGACCAAGTTATCAGTGCTATGAATGGTGAGAGGCCTTCCATTGCCTTTGAGGGGAGGAGGGGTGCTTCATGCCTTCCTCAGCCTGACCCAGCACACTAGTAATGATGACACGGGGTGGTTTAGGTCCACTTTACTGGGTTTAGCATCTATTAGAAGGTCCACTCTTCAAGCCTGCAAGAGAATTAGTCCCCAAAACTGCTGTACTTAAGAGTTTAAACTCGGGGCGCCTGGATGGCGCAGTCGGTTAAGGATCCGACTTCAGCCAGGTCACGATCTCCCGGTCCGGGAGTTCGAGCCCCGCGTCGGGCTCTGGGCTGATGGCTCAGAGCCTGGAGCCTGTTTCCGATTCTGTGTCTCCCTCTCTCTCTGCCCCTCCCCCATTCATGCTCTGTCTCTCTCTGTCCCAAAAATAAATAAACGTTAAAAAAAAAAAAAAAAAAAGTTTAAACTCAAATCTGTGGGTCCTTGTGGCCTACAGCATAATTCAGAGCACAGGCCAGAATGTAAAC